CCCATCTAAGCATTTGAAATGGTCCTCATCTCTTGGGGCCCAAGGGCAGACTATGCTGATAATCAGCCTCAGTTCAGTTCAATTCAGTCACTCTGTTGTGTCCGACTCTTTGCGACCCCATGGACTGCAGCACGCCAGCTTCCCTGTCCTACACTATCTCCCAGAGTTTGCTCAAACCCATGTCCATCGAGTCGGTGATGCCATCCAACAATCTCATCCTCTGTCGTCCCCTTCTCCTCCTACCCTCAATCTTTCCCAGCATCAGGGTCTTTTTCAAATGAGTCAACTCTTCGCCTGAGGTGGCCAAAGTATTGGAGTTTCAGCTTCAGCATCAGTCCTTCCAATGAATACTCAGGATTGATCCCCTTTAGGATGGACTGGTTGGATCTCCTTGCAGTCCAAGGGACCCTCAAGAGTCTTCTCCAACACCACAGTTCAAAAGCATCAAATCTTTGGTGCTCAGCTTTCTTTATAGTCCAACTCTCACATCCATACATGACTACTGGAAAAACCATAACTTTGACTAATAATCATAGCTAATAACCATAGCTTTGATAATCAGCCCCAGGGTTTGGTATAAAGGTGGTAGAGCTACAAGAGAGACCATGCATGGCTGCAGCAAGTAAGGAGAGAGTGGGGCTCTGAGTCCTGGAATGGAGCTGTTCAGATGGTTGAATCTTACACTCCCCGCTTCCCTGAGCCCTCCAGGCCTGTAGAATGCCCCTCCCCTGCTAGAGGAGAACACTCACCCATCACTTTAAGATTCACCCCACCTCCCCTCTCTGCCTGTAGACAAGAGTCAGCAAATGCTTTAAGGGCAAGAGAGCAAATATTTTAGGTTTGTGGGCTACATGGTGTCTGTCGCAACTACTCATTCCTGCTTTTGTGCTGCTTAAAGTACAACAACAGCCATAGACAACAAGCAAATGGGTGTGTCTACATCGAAGTAAAACTCTATATAAAATGGGCAGCTGGTCCCTGGAGCTAGGGTTTGCCAGCCTCGTCTCTTAGATCAATAATTGGGTCAGGTCTCAGCACTGCCTGAGTAGAAAAAGTAGAGTTACTGCTACTGGAGGAAATAACTTGCCAGAATGCTACAGGTCTGACTGATATGTATTGGTAGGAACAGGGCGAACATATGGGAGGAGACCTCAGGGGTGTGGGGCTGGGACTGCGGGAGAGGAGGAATACAAGGCAGCCAAAGTGTTTATTGTGCCCTCTCTTGACTCAAGATTAAACATCCCGGGGAAGTCCCTGGTGGTCCGGTGGTTAGGGCTCTGTACTCTCACAGCCCAGGGCCCAGGGCCCATTTCTGGTTGGGGAACTAAGCTCCCGTAAGTCATGTGGCGCTGTTCCCTCTTGGAGTCCAATGGGTTCCAATGAGTCTGTGGCTACTTCCCAGCCCCTGAATGCAAATTGGGATGGATGTACTCAGCAAGTAGCAGAACGCTCAGATTGGTGAAACCGATGAAACAAAAGCCATTAGGGAAAAGGACTGAGTAGAAGTGTCTTCAGTTATCCCACTGGTCAAGATGGTAAGTCAGAAGCAGTACCACATCCCTGGTAGAATTGCAAAGGTTAATCCTATGCTCAGAAACTTAAAGGACACAGTGCTTCCCAATCCACCCCCACCTGCTCCAACAAAAAAACAAATGAAGCACGGTGATTGATAATGGTCACACGACAGCCCTAGTTGCAGCCATTATATCATAAAGTATGGTATGTTTACTAGAATAGTCTCCATAGCTCTGATTGTAAGAAGCTAATAACATGGCCAATGCATTCTTTCCAATCCATGCCAGGAAAGCAGATCAAAAGTCATGCCCACGTTCCCCACAGAAATTCAGGAACCTATCGTATTAGTTAAGATTTAAATGCCAGCTGAGCTGAGGCATGCCAGGACATTCCCTCTATGCTTGTCATTTAGTCACTAAGTCATCTCCAAGTCTGTGACCCCATAAACTGCAGCACGCCAGCTTCCCTGTCCTACACTATCTCCCAGAGTTTGCTCAAACTCATGTCCATTGAGTTGGTGATGCCATCCAACCATTGCATCCTCTGTCGTCCCCTTCTCCTCCTGCCTTCAATCTTTCCCAGCATCAAGTCTTTCCCAGTGAGTTAGTTCTTCACATCAGGTGGCCAAAGGATTGGAGCTTCAGCTTCAGCATCAGTCCTTCTGAATGAATATTCAGGATTGATTTTCTTTAGGATTGACTGGTTTGATCTCCTTGCTGTCCAAGGGACTCTCAAGAGTCTTCTCCAACACGATTCAAAAGCATCAGTTCTTTGGCGCTCAGCTTTCTTTATGGTCCAACTCTCACATCTGTGCATGACTACTGGAAAAAACAGCTTTGACTAGACCAACCTTTGTCGGCCAAGTGATGTCTCTGCTTTTTAATACACTGTCTAGGCGCCCTACAGGGTTAAAGGACAAATTATCATACCGTGGACATCCTACCACTAAAAAGAGGCATAATGCTGGTGGCCAATAGAGACTTTGGAGGCAGTATACTGATTACTGCTCCAGATCATGTATTGGATGACTTTATTGTTTAAGTGGAGTCCAGAGCTAAAGAGGCTCTGCATTAGGTCCTCACTATGGGGAAAACACTTGGGACGTGTGACCCAGCATATCCCATAATACTAGAAATATCCATGGGAGATAAGCAAACAGTGTAAAGTCTCCAAAAGCCCCAAGGGCAGAGCCTCCTCTCAGACCCTTAGGGTTCTGGAGCAAAGCCATGATCCATTTAACAGAGGATTATTCAGCAAGTGAAAAGTAGTTCTTGGCTAAACTGCAGGATCCAGAACAAAGAAATGATTATTGTTTTAAGCTACTAAGGCTTAGGGTTGATAAATATAAATAACCAGAAGATTCATGTAAGAGTATTTGTTCTTTTTAATGTCATATAGGATTCCACTGTATACAGATACCAGTTTATGTATCTGTTCTCATGTTCTGGACATTTAGGTTGTTTCTGGTTAGGCTCTGTTATGAATAATACTGCTATAAAAATATACAAATGTGTATTTATTTCTCTTGAGAACAAACCTAAGAATGGAATTCCTAGTCATCAGGTAGGCTTGAGGGGAGGCATCTTGAGAAGATATTACCCAAGAGTTATTCCAAAGGAGATGAAATAGTTCACACTTCCACCAGGAGGTATGAGTTCCAGTTGCTCTGTATCCTCACCAACACTTGGCATTGTCAGTCTTTTTCATGTTAGTCATTCTGATAGATGTGTACTGGTATCTAACTGTGATTTTAATTTGCATTTTTTCTGATGAGTCACAATATATTCTTTACTTTTAAAAAAAACACACACAAGAACCCAAAATACTGACCGTGGCAATCTGCAGAGGTGTGATGACTTCTTGTTTTGTTATTGTCTGCTTTTTGATTTGTGGTCTTGGTCTTTCTTTTGCTAAACTGTTTTGCTTTTTTCTTTTTAAGTGCTTATTTAATTAAAAAAAAACCTCCACCAACTTGTTCTTATAAATAATAAGGTATATTGACCACAACACTAATATTACGAGTAAAGTCATCAGAAATATTTATTGAGCACCTGCTGTATACTCAGCACTGTGGGAGGGGCTCTGAAGGGCACAGAGCAGTACAGGATGTATTCCCTGCCCGTGAGAGGTTTACAGTCGAGGTGGAGACGGAAGAGACAGGCCATCTGGGAACCAGGAGAAAACAGTCCAGGCCAGGATGTCACAGGAGCCGGGAGGTGTCTGGGGTCAGACCCACCAACGTGGCTCAGTGCCAGGAAAGACAAAGACTCACAGCTCCCAGACCCACATTTGCCCATTTAGCTCATCCTATCCACAGCCTCTGCTCCCGCCATCTGACTCCTTCAGCTGTTATTCAAAGTGCAATGAAATGGGGGAAGGGGTGGGGCCAATGGAAAAAGTCCTTGGCCAAGTTCCAGGGGCTGGTGTCACACTGTCCCTCCTGGAAAAATCTGCTCCTCACCCACCTACCCCTAACACAGAGAGATCGCCATTCAAGGAGGCCTGTCTGACCACCCTGGACCCCCACCCCAAGAGCTAAGAGGAGGGGGCAGTCGCTGCTTGAGGTAGAACTGGGGAACCCTATGCCTAGCATGTCCCTTCCCCTTCCAGTCCACTGAGTTGGGGATTAGGGCCCCCCAGAGCTGCCACCCAGGGCCGAGAAGATACTAAAGGGAAAGGGCATGGAGGAAGGGAGAGGAGCAGAGAGGGACTGAGAGCCCAGCTGGGGAAGAGGGGCCTCTGGGGCTCCTGGAAAAATGCAGGGAACAGGGAAGCCAAATATGAGACTGGCTCCCCTGAAGACGGGGGTGGGGGGAGTGGCGAGGTGGGGGTGGTTTGCTACGGGCCCCTACCTTCCCCACGCCTTCACAAGACAGAGGTGGGAATCAAGGGCCAGGAGGGTGTCCAATCCCCCAGCCCCATTTCCAGGCTGTGCCCACTTCAGGATCACCCTGCCCAACCTTAGAGGGGGCAAGGGGAACCCAAAGCTTTGATGATGCCTCCAACTCTGTTGGTCCCCCTTCAAAGTGCTATCTATTTACTTCTCAGATTATAAGGAATTCAGGACTGAGAATGCAGGAAAGGAGCGGGGCGGAGGGGGGGGGGCGGACTTCATAACACCCATCAGATGGCAGCGGGGGAGGGAGCCAGGCCCACCCAGAGAATGGGGGTCACGTCAGCCTCAGAGGAGCAAGGACGAGGAAAGCAAAGGATGAAGAGGGTTTAAATAACGGTTCATATAATAAAAATACCTAGCACTCTAATAAGCCTATTTTTTCTGCTAATTTTTTTTTTAAATAATTCTAATGCCAGAGGCTGGGGGCGTGGGAAGGGTGACAGTAAGCAGGGTATGTACATGAGGAGGCGTTTAAATTAAAACACAAATAATAATTAAGACGCACAAACTGAAGGACCAAGGCAAAAGGTACAGAAGAGGCCCGCAGTGGCCCCCTTGTTTCCACAAGGACGTGCTTCTGGCAGCGGGGTTAGGGCTTCCTCTTGGAGCAGATCAGCCTGCGTTTGGAGTGGTAGAAATCTGGGGGGAGAGAATAGACGTCAGCCAGGCCAGGAGGAAGAGGGCCCAGCAGGGCCACCCGCCCAGTGCAAACTGCAGAGGGACCCTCCCCAAGGCCAGAGGGACACAAGCCAAGTACAGGGAAGAACTCTGGAAACTTCTAGCCCATCTCCCAGAGGGCTACATACATGCAGAACATCCCCCCATGCTTCACAGATGTGGTCAGTAACAGACCTTCCATCCATGGGCCCGCTTTAAGCCAAGCTGCCCAAATGCAATGGCCGCTAACCCTAGGTGGCTGTTTAAATTAACTAACAGTAAACTAAAAGAAAAATTCAGTCCCTCATGGCAAGCACTCAGCTGCAATATGTGGCCAGGGGTACTGGGCAACTGCTTCTTTGTAGAGCCTGATCTGTCAGAGAGCACTGCTCTGGAGATTCCATTATTTGATCCAGGAAAAGTGTTCTGAATGATGCCTGAGCCATATAAAGGTTAGTTGTTATTCTTATCATTATTGTTAGTTTTGACCCAGCTGCAAATTTGCTGTGGGATTCTTGGCTGTACTGCTCCAAGCTTCCGTTTCCTCACCTATAAAATGAGGATAACACTGGTACGGTGCTCGGAGGATTAAATGAAATGCTTCCAGAAAGACCTTGGTTGGGACTTCCCTGATGGTCCAGTGGCTAAGACTCCTTGCTCTCAGCGGAGGTGGCCCAGGTTCTATCCCTGCTTAGGGAATTAAGGTCCCACAAGCCATACAGCCAAAATAATAACAGTATTACATTTGTAAAGTAAAAAATAAAAAGACATTGGCCGAAGGCCTGGCATAGTTAGTGTTCAACTGCCAGCCTCACTTATTCCATTTTCCTCAAGCACCTGCTGTGTGTCACACACCATCCAAGGTGCTGAGGATTCATTCAGTTATGAACAAGAGAGATACAGATTTCTTTCTTGTGGAGATAGGATCCTATTTGGGGAGATGGACCATATCAAAATATGGAAGTAACTGTTGATAGTTTAAAAAGTGCCAAAAAGAGAAAAATAGGCTGGGAAGTGCGGATGAAGGTGTGTATATATGAAGGGGAAGGCGAGTTAAGTTTGGTTAAGGCAGCCAGGAAATGATCATTCATTTTCTCTCCATGCCAAATTCAGCGTGGGACCTCAGGCAAATCATTCTACCTCTGAGTCCTGTTTCTTTGCCTGTAAAAGGATGCCAAGAATGTCCTATGGTATTAGATCACTATAAGAACTAAAAGAAATCTAGACACTTATCAAAGGGCCTGGCACACAGTCAATGTTCTAAATAAATGTCACTTAATTGGTCTTGGTAGTAGACTTGCTGTGTGACCTCAGGCAAGCCACTTCCCCTCTCTGGGCCTGTTTCCCCCCTCAGAGCGATGAGCAAGCTGGGCCAGACAGGTGAGCCCTGGCACCGTGAGTTCTGGGAGTCCTCACCTGTCATGCTGGTCTGCCGCCGTTTCCGGCCCTGGGAGGGGCCAGGCCCACCAGGGGTCCCCTCGGGCCGCTCAGGGGAGCGAGTCACGAGAGTGCAGGACAGCGACAGGTCCAAGTGGTCCTCCTGAGACGTGCCCTGCAGCAGGGCGGACGAGGGGCTCGGCCGCTTGCCCCCTCCCAGGTCGTCTCGGGGCCCCACGGGCAGGTAGAGCTTGGGCAGGCCGAGGCCCCTCACGCGCTCCCAGGCGAAGTCCCCCTCCAGCGGCGTCTCGGTGACAAAGTCGAAGTTCCACCGCTCTCGGGCCTCCTGCACGCAGCTGGCCATGAGGGCGTCGCAGTCCTGGCGCAGCTGCTCGCTGTCCACTGGACCAAAGAGGCAGCGGCAGGCCTTGCTGCTGCGGGGGATTTGATGCGCGTCCCTGGACGGCTCGGACATGGCACCTGTGGCTGGAACACAAGGGAGACCCCGGGGCATGTAAGTGAGGCCCTCGGGAAGTCATTCGCTCCCTCTCTGGGCCTCGCTACTGCGCAACCTCAGGCGCGGCCCCCTCACTGGAAAGTGAGGTGAGAGGGGCTCTCGGGTTCCCTCCGGCTGATTTCCCCCACCTTCCTCCCACAGAGAGGGCGTGAGGGGCAGAGTCAGTCCGCCTGACACCCCCAGGTCACTGGGGGAGTGGGCAGCTGAAGGGCAAGTTTATGTCAACAAAGGCAAGTTTATTGCAATAGCAGGGATCAGGGTCCTGTTTACCACCAGGTGTTATCAGCTAAAATCAATTTGTTTTTCCCCCCCAGGTGTCCCTCGTGGGTGTGAATGCCCCAGGTATGTGTGAATTGTCAGAGTTCAGTAGTTTCCCAACTCCAGGCCCGGCTGGGGAGGTCAATCTCCAAGTAAATGGACACCTCCTCAAGCCTCTCAAATCCCTCCGTCTAGATGCTCGTGCGGACAACAAAGGAAACTATAAGCAAGGTGAAAAGACAGCCCTCAGATTGGGAGAAAATAATAGCAAACGAAGCAACAGACAAAGGATTAATCTCAAAAATATACAAGCAACTCCTCCAGCTCAACTCCAGAAAAATAAATGACCCAATCAAAAAATGGGCCAAAGAACTGAACAGACATTTCTCCAAGGAAGACATACAGATGGCTAACAAACACATGAAAAGATGCTCAACATCACTCATTATCAGAGAAATGCAAATCAAAACCACAATGAGGTACCATTACACACCAGTCAGGATGGCTGCTATCCAAAAGTCTACAAGCAATAAATGCTGGAGAGGGTGTGGAGAAAAGGGAACCCTCTTACACTGTTGGTGGGAACGCAAATTAATACAGCCACTATGGAAAACAGTGTGGAGATTTCTTAAAAAGCTGGAAATAGAACTGCCATATGACCCAGCAATCCCACTTCTGGGCATACACACCGAGGAAACCAGATCTGAAAGAGACACGTGTACCCCAATGTTCATCGCAGCACTGTTTATAATAGCCAGGACATGGAAGCAACCTAGATGCCCATCAGCAGATGAATGGATGAGGAAGCTGTGGTACATATACACCATGGAATATTACTCAGCCATTAAAAAGAATTCATTTGAATCAGTTCTAATGAGATGGATGAAACTGGAGCCCATTATACAGAGCGAAGTAAGCCAGAAAGATAAAGACCATTACAGTATACTAACACATATATATGGAATTTAGAAAGATGGTAACAATAACCCTATGTGCAAAACAGAAAAAGAGACTCCTATGTATAGAACAGACTTGTGGACTCTGGAAGAAGGCGAGGGTGGGATGTTTCAAGAGAACAGCATTGAAACACGTATATTATCTAGGGTGAAACAGTTCACCAGCCCAGGTTGGGTGCATGAGACAAGTGCTCGTGCCTGGTGCACTGGGAAGACCCAGAGGGATTGGGTGGAGAGGGAGGTGGGAGGGGGGACCGGGATGGGGAATACATGTAAAAAAAAAAAAAAAGATACACTATGGTTGTGATAAAAAAAAATAAATTAATTAATTAAAAAAAAAAATAAAGAGCATTACAAACTAGGAAAAAAAAAAAATAGATGCTCGTGCGGAATAATCCTGCTCGGTTACTTAAAACTACCCTGGACTTTGGGGTTAAAAAGCACCTGGGTTCCTTGCTCTGCCACTTCCTACCTCAACTTTCAAAGAGTCATTTCAAGTCTCCCGGCCTCCGTTTCTTCATCTGTAAAATGGGACTGCATACGTGTCTAAAGAGCAGGGCTGTAGATGCAGGCTCAAGGAAATGATTGGTGGGCCCCGCCAGGCAAGGCTGATGGAGCAGAGTTGAACAGCTGTGTCTTGGTGGTTAAAGGTGAGGGCTCTGGAACCAGGCCACTTGGGTTGGAATCCAGGCTCTGCTGGGCAACCTTCGACAAGTAGCTTAACTTCTCTGGGTTCTGTTTTCCTCACCTATAAGATGGAGATGTCCATGTGTAGAGTTGTCTCTTGTGTATGTTGGATGAGGGTGTTTGCTATGACTAGTGCATTCCCTTGGAAAAACTCTGTTAGCCTTTGCCCTGCTTCACTTTGTACTCCAAGGTCAAACTTGCCTGTAACTCCAGGTATCTCCTGACTTCCTACTTTTACATTCCAGTCCCCTATGATGAAAGGGACATCTATTTTTGGTGTCAGTTCTAGAAAGTAAAGTCACTCAGTCATGTCCAACTCTTTGTGACCCCATGGACGGGAGCCTACCAGGCTCCTCTGTCCATAGGATTTTCCAGGCAAGAGTACTGGAGTGGGTTGCCATTTCCTTCTCCAGGAGATCTTCCCGACCCAGGGATCAAACCTAGGTCTCCTGCATTGTAGGTTAGCGCTAGAAGGAGATAACCATAGCGGAATATCTCAGAGGACAGATGTGAGGATTAGCTAAGCGGTTGTAGATAGCGCCCTCAGAGCAGTACCAAGTATAGAGAAAGTGTTTGGAAAATATTTCGGTCCGCCTTTAGTTCTGGCTGACTCCTCCCCATCACTCCACCTGGGCCACCGCCTCCTTCAGACAGCAGCTGACAGGTGTTGTGGGCTGAGGGCCTTTCCCAAGGATGTCATCAGGCAGGCAGCCTGGGGGTAAGGAGGAGCTAGGCAGGGCAGGGCGGAGCAATGATTTCTCCCAGGCTGAGCCACATCCTGCCAGGCACATCAGGTGACCTGAAGTCTAGACAATCTGGAAGCCCCTGCCCCATTCTGCCTGCATCCAAGGAACCCGTTTTGCAGGCAAAGAAAATTAAAGGCACCGGTCTACCTGGTTCCTCACCTCCCACTTTAAGAGAGGGAAAACTGAGGGTGAGCTTGCCCGTGACGGGGTGCTGGCACCTCCCTGTCCTGCTCTGGCTTGACTCCAGGGCTGAGCGCCTGCACGACTTTAACAGAGACTGGGTTTTCCTGGGGACAAGTCCTGATCTGCATGCTCTGAGGGTGAAAGCCCTGCTGAGTGTCCTCCTGGGGCAGGAAGCCCTCGATCCACACCACATCTACCTGTCCCCACTCCACGTCTCACAGTGAGTCAAGTCCACAACTCCAAGTCTCAGCAGACAGGGCAGGGGAGGCACTAGATGACCTCAGACCACGTTTAAAGGGCAGGAGTTTTAAGACTTGCCCCGAACCCACAGGGTTAAACAGATCAATAGTGTCTATTCAAGCTGCCACATAGAAAGGGGTTACATAGCCCAGTGGACAAAGCCCACAAATAACCTTTGCTCACTCTCTTCAGGGCTAAGGATTGAGATTTATTTATATATTTTAATGTGCCAAAGGCTGTTGTAAAAAAGGTTACGGATATTAATTTTCAAAAGAAATGGGTATATCACTCTTTTACAGAAGAGGTAACCAAGGCTCAGAGAAGTTAAGTAATTTTCCCAAGGTCACACAGCTCACCAATGGCACAGCCAGGATTTGAACCCAGCCCTGAATGCCCTGGGTTCTGCATTCTGGTATTGAACCCTACTCCCTCTCTAATTTTGAGGTTTCTTCACCAGAGAGACCCATCAGAACCACTTGAGGAGCTTTTTCAAAATGTAGATTTGACAGGCCCCTTCTTCCCCAGATCGATTAAATTCAAGGGCTTGACAGTTCTCCAGATGGGCACGCTTGGGGTGCCAGCCAAGAGGGGACACACAGAATGGCTTGAATAGACACTACAGATCTCAGGGCTTCATTGGCAAGAGGAGGAACCCTGCTAGGGTTTTATCAGGCCTTGGACTTCAGCCATATTTTCATTCCCAAATAAACAGTAAGCACTCAGTAAACACTGCAGATCCAGTGGGGGCACTCCTTTTAAGAGAGGAGTGGGCAAAGACCTCAGCATCAGTACTAGAGTAAATTGCATTGGGAAGCAAAGGCCGGTGAAGCCTCATTCCGCGGGAAGGCGGGTTAGCGATTAGCGATATGGCCAGAAGAGGGCGCCGGTCTCCAGGAAATCACGCGCGGAGGGGGCGCTGCGTGGGCAGAGCCTGGGAGGCCGGCAGCCAGCTGTGATGAGTCAGTTTCCCGCAAAGCGCTCCCCGCCCGCCAAAACTTCGCTTCCACTCCCGCTGCACGTCACCCCGGGGTGGGGAGGGGGAGTGGGAGGGGGCTCGGGGGCCGCGAACACGTCACGCTGAGCCAGTCAGCCTTCCGAAACGCCCGCCACTATTGGGAAACAGCGCGCTCTCGCGCCGCCTCTTGTGAAACACACGCGCGCACGCGCGTACACACACACACACGCACACACACAGCATGCACGTACAGGCGCGCCGAGATCTGGTCCCTCCACCTTATCTCCACGCCCAAAGCAAGGGATGAGTCAGATCCCTGAAAAATAAAAATAGACGGGAGCAACGAAAACAAAACCGCTCTTAAGTCCTCCCCGAAACGCAACGTGGAGGAAGGGGAAGGAGGGAGGGAGCTGCCCGGGCGCCCTAAAGCACCAAGCCCAGTTCTACGATTCTTGTCCCTACGGGGAGAGCGCAAGTGTCTCCCGAGGGCCCCAGACCAGGCAGACGCACTACAGTCCACGCTGGACGGTGGCGTCCGGAGGGCGAATCGCCCTCCTGCTCTGCTCAGCCCTGTCGCCCTTGGAGAGGGAAATTCGGACTGGATTGGGGCCGCCCGGAGTGCCCGAAAGCAGGTGACGGAGGCCCGGAGCAGCGACGCACCCCGAAGCCCCATCCCTCAAACACAGGACCTCTCCTTCCCTTCCCCCACCGCCCCCGTCGGGGGCTGGGTGCCCCCACCGCGCCGCAGGGCAGAGCGCGGCTCCGGACCTCGAGTCCATCCGGCCGACCCAAGGGCAGGCTGAGCCGGGGTTCTCCCGGCGGCGGTGGGAGAGAGGTAGGTTCGGCTTCGGGGCTTCCCTAACTGACAAGCTGGCGCAAGCCCACCCAGCGCCCGGCCGCGGCTCCGGGTCCCAGAGGGTGCGCCTCGGGGCG